TCCTCCACCACCGAGGCCCGAGCTGAAGGAACCCATGCATATTATGCATTTCTTGAAAATGATTTTTTTTAATTTCTAAAAACTAGTAATGGCCCACCCCTCCCATTTTCTTCTTCTTCTGTTTTTTTAAACCTCTCCCTCCAGCTCTCCGGCTTGGTCCTGGCTCTTAAGGCTCTCACATTCAAGTGCCTCCTGGATGAGCCTGGTGTGTTCCCACCCCAAACAACCCTGGCCTCTCTCACCCCCCCCCCGCCCCCCCCCCCCCCCCCACCAACCCCCCAGTGTTGTATATAGTCCATAGTTGCTGTCCTTTCATGTATGATCAATTTGTTTCTTTCCATTAAGTGGTAAAACCAATCTTGTGATTTCAATAAAGAATAGTCGTGACTACGCTGCTGAAAGAGCACCCTCAGTATAAAATGGCTTTTTAGTAATAAAATGTTTCCCGTTGTACACCGAGTCGTTTTTTCATTCCGTGTCCCAAAGCTCTGTTTTATCAGAAACCATAATGAAGGTAAACAAGCTAATATGTGAACCACTAGACGGGATTATTTTATTTTTAAAAATCTTTGAAAAGCTTCAAAGGAAGTTCAAGAAGGTATATTTTTTATGGGCAAAAAAAAAAAATGGATTGGAGATGGCAAAAGATTTGTGTAACTATCTGTAACAACTTTTAGGGGTCCCATTCCCCTCCTGACATTTGTACCTCAGGGTTGCACTCGCGCTGAGCTCCTACAAAGCGTAATGGGACGCTCGTTTACAGACGATTCGCAATGATCTCCTTCCGGAAAGTAGGAGACCGATGCTGAAGCCCACTGCCGGCTGAGTGCCCCAAATGGGCCTCTGATGGGAGCTGATGGGCTGTCGACCTGAAGGTGGAGTGGAAATGGGTTATAGTTAGGGCTGGAGTGGGATAACCACCAGAAAACACGTCCGAATGCAGAGGGACGCTAACGCCTGCTGGCTTTAATCTCAACAGAGAGAGAGAGATGATGTGAATGTTTAACCAAACAAGTCATTTATGACTCCAATTCACGAGAGCAGGATTCAGGCCCTTTCCGAGGCGTGATACCTCACAGCAGCCAGTAGAGGGCGTCATGTGCACCCCGTATCCACCAGGAGGGAACTTAGATTTGAAGTATTCCCCCAAACTACTTTGCTGCTAAACCAGGCTTCACATTCCAGATGGCTGTCGGTGTTGGAGGGTTTTTTTTTTTGCAATGAGATGTACAGTTTAGATGACCAGCGCTTAGTTTGATGGGCCAACAGGTTTGATTGGAAAGGGGACGTGTGCAGGATCCCAGAGGCTGCCTTTAGCCTCTTTATTTGGTTGCCGTCGTCCATAACTCAAACCAGCATGTTTCATATGTCACAGAAACCATTGCGTTGAAGAAAAAGGAAAAGAGACTTAAAATATAATTTCCGTTTTTATTAAAACCATACAAACATTTGTTGTCAGTTATAAAAGAGCAAAGAGGCTCTTCTGGCGGAGGGTGCAGCACTGGGCACACAAATCCCCGCCCGGAGCCAGATCTGCCTGGCCTGGGCCCAGGGCCTGGGAATCCCTGCTTTTTAAGTCAGTTTTTTTTTCTCTTTTTTTAAATTTTTTATTATTTGTTGTCCCAGGACTCTCCACATTTCCTTTGCTAAACCTACAGAAAGAGTAATGTATTTACATAATATATATATATATTTATATATATAAAAGCACAATAAATGCAAAGAAAAATCAAAGAAAAGTAGAATGCATTTCGCAAATCTTAACTTTTCTGATACTCAGACTTTTCTTATATAAATGTTCTGTCATTTTTATCTCCTTTCAGGTGTCTTTCGCGAGACACATTACATGTTTAATTCTTATTTGTTCATTATTCACAATGGAAGATTGGCAGTGATCTCTCTCTCTTTACTGACAGGCAGATACGATTAAGGCACAAACCTCAGCGATTTCCTCCGTTCAAAGGAAATGATTTCTACTTCTTTGAAATAACAAAAAAACACCATCAATACACAGCTACAAAAAGGACAAAAGTACCAAAGAACGATAAAACATCTTGTACCTCATTGCTCTGACGCTGAATAAAAGGTAAACTACTCCATATTCTGGGTAAGGCAATGCTAACACTGTTGACAAAAGTCACTGCAATACTTGATGGCAGTACACATTCTGAATTTTAAGAGCTTTGGAGAAAAAACAATATAGA